CAATAGTAAGACATTTTCCATATAAAACTAATCTCATAGATATGAGATGATAACACTAACAGGGGGGAAATGAGAGTGAGGAAGGACATGTAATGAGAATAGGGCCACAGGTGTCTAACAATTAATAAGAAGTTTTCTTAAAGCCCCTGGGAAAATGGAGGATGAAACAAGGCAGTAAAAAGATAAGATACCTCAATGGGTCCATTACTCCAAAAAGAAATACATTTTTGAGCACAGACCAAGGACATGACACACTTTGATTTGGTTGCTGCACCTGGACCTTGACCCCCTCCAGGAGTTTTTTTTCAGGAACGCTGACCATTCTCCAGTCTCAGGAATGGGCTGAGCTGTTTGTAACATCATAGAAGATTAGCCACCTTGTTTTGGTACTCTGATCTCCTGAGAGCTGGACTGCAGAGTCTACCCTCCCCTTTCCATGTTACACTTGTAGCTCGCAGCTGCACATAGCTATCTTCTCCCTCTTCTGTGTATATAACCAGCTAACTGGCAAGGGGAGGTCAGAGCAGATCTTTGTGGGTGACCTGCTGCTCTCCCATACTGCTAGCAGTATTGGAATAAATGCTCATATATGACTCAACCCTGCTTCTGCTTAATTGGCTCAAGTGGTGACAGGCAGCCCAGACCTCTTGGTTGTCCAGTTACAACAATAGTAATGAGATACATTTCAAGGCAAATATATGTGACATTTCAAGAAATCAAATAATCCTTAAAAGTAACTAAGTATAGTTAGCCTAATATTCTTTAACTTTTTTTGGTTTAAAAGTCAATTGTCAAATACATTCAGAAAATTCATGTGCTATCATTTTTATAAGAAATTAAAGCTATTCATTTATATGAAAAATAATTTATAAAGAGGTTAGATTTTCATATTTTATTGTGTATCTTATTAAAACAATATGAATACATTTCTGTAAAAGATTTTAAAATAAAGTAATGTCTTTCTTAGATTAGCTTTCCTTTGAGAAATGCAGTGATTTTATTTTGGCAACAAGGATATTAAATTGTATTTACTAGAGTAGTACATGACAGTGGCAAGGGAGTCTGAAAGATTTAATGTGACACTCCTACAGTGATTTACTTACTCATATAATCTGACTAAATTTAACTTCTTGCTCACATAATCTGGCCAATATGTTGAAACATGTTTTACCTAGTTTCAGGGGCTTCTCTAAAAAACATACTACTCAAAATTACTCTTGGCAACTAGAAGTGATAATTGAGGGACACACACACACACACTTTTAATAAGTATACTGAATAACAGCACCATAAATAATGTACCATGTAATACAAAGAGATCCCATGGCTCAGTCATTTATATGCACTAAGCAAAAATTCCACAAAGCTCTGTATGTTTCATAACATAGCAAAGCAAAAGAAACCATTCCTAAGCAACCTCAATTTGATACAAATTGATACAAATCTTTGGAGTAGCATATTTTAATATTTAATTAACTATAAACCCAGATTTATTCAGTAATTTATCTTATGAATAACCCTTTGGATTATCAGAAGATAGGTAATTAAGAGAACTTCTTTTGAAAGAAAGACACTTCATGAAAATCAATGTTATTTTTATTAGATTATTACAGTTAAATGCTTCAATGATATTTTAATCATGAAAATACTGGACATTCTGAGTAATAGTTTATACTTAACTTAGAGAGTAGTATCTCAACTTTATAATTATTTTTACATTTTAGGAAATAATAGTTCAATTTTGTTCAAGTGTCCTAACACTGACATCTTCTGACTACTGAGGAGAACTACAGATCTCCTCAAAATATTTCCCAGTGACTGAAGCATACCTTCGTATGGAAGAAATTAGCATTTGTTGAATAATGATTATGTAATGGACACTTCAAGGATTATTTTATTTGATTTCTT